CTCTAAATATTAATACTAGCAGAATTGGTAGCTATGTCTTCCGAACAGTATTCTGCCACAAAGATCATTAAAATTCTATAAGACATCTCAATGGCACTAATATACAGTTAAAAAATATCTGATTGATGGAGGGTGTACTGTGGCAGATTATGTAATTTCATTGTAACCAAAAGCATTGTTTAGAATTATGCCTTACACTTTCTGTATCATACTGCTGTTACTGTATCATACCAAACTATTAACATAAAGCTGTGAGTTGTAGATCTTCCTTTTATGATAGCTATAAAAACAACGCCATAGGATGACAGACTGTTTGACAGAACACCCTGGACCCATTTAAAAACATTTAACCAAGCCTATTTTAAATCTATTCCTTGAGACTTGTTGTAATTCAAACAGAACTATTTTTCTTTCTGTTCTGTTTCATACTAGTACTTAACAGCTCATTACATTTGTTAGCACTATGCTTAGAAATGTTTTAGACTTGTTCTATTTACTTTTTATGTACAATTTATTTCATATTTCTATTTTTATAATGCTCATTCAAATTAATCTGTTAGCCTCCTAATTTGATTAGATATCAAAATGCTTATCAAGTAATTGTTGCTAGAGTACAGTTAATGAAAATAATTGAGTACATTTTAAAAAATGATACATGAAATGTACTGTTGTATACATAAAATGATATTGCAAAAAAAAACACATTATAATTGGATGTGCATATCTTGTATGTAAACATGTTGATGTATTAGGTCAATCAATACATTCAAGTTAACAAAAATAATAAACATCTCTATAAAGTTAGCTTTTTTTGTGCACTCAAGAAAGTCAGGATTGATGTCTCTTTTATAGTAAGTGCATGCTTTTTATACAATTCAGTTTTTCTGTATCATGAAAACAGTGTTGTTTACCAGATTTACGTTACCAAGCTATGAAATAATATATCCTAATTAACATTAATAAAGTTAATAGATGACAGCATACAAGATTTAAGTTTTAAAGAGAATAAATATATTTTGGATGAGCAAATTGAAATAATTGAAGATTATTGTTTATTGTTCTTAAATGCCCCTTGTGCAACATTTTTTAAAATTTAAATTCAATATAGATTTGCAATAAAAACTTAATTGCAATATTAGTTAAATACATAGGGCTGATTTACTAAAGGTTTACCACAGTAATTTACCCATTTTCTTTTTACCCTTAGTAAAACAGCCAATGAAAAGCTTACCTGGTAATATTTCCTAAAATGTACAACTGAAGAGTAACAGGAAATGTGACAAATGACTCCAAGTTTCATGTGTTTGTGGAAATTTACAGCTTATATTTTCATTTGTGCTTAAAAACACATACAGCCAACAAAGTGTTAACTTTACATCTCAGACATGTAATAAAGTGAAAAATTATGTACAGTAGTTAAACTATGTAAACTATGTTGTATTAAGAGTTGCAGAGTTTCCCTGAAAGATTGCAGATTGTCCTGCTGACTTAAAATATGTGTTAGTCCAACTCAAACAGAAAACAGCAAAGTTCACATCCTATTGTTAATTCTATTTCAGCAACAAAAAATAGCACAAGACAACCTAAAATTAAAATTGCTTTCTTTATGATCTTGGTGTTTGAATAATGATGATGTGTTTATGTTCAATATTTGAAAAAACCCAACTGAATATCAGTTAAGCATACATAATTACTTTTAGTTTTGTCTTTGCCCCTTTTAAATGCCATTTAGGTGCTATGAAAGTGGAAAAAAAGATGGCCTCAGTATTATTTGATGAATTCATTCAGCAAAATTAATTAACCATCTCCAAATTTAACGGTAAACTGTTTTTCTTACTAATTTATACTTTTCATCCTGTACCCTATTTTATAAGTATGATGGCTATGTGCAATATGTCACATAAAATATCCACATTATATTAGTAGTTACCTCATTGTGCGGAGGACACTAAAATGAGGAAACGTTCAATCCGATTGCTATGGGTTACTAAACATCATTACTAATGGCAGTGCTCCTAGTTTAAATATATTACATTGTCTATTTATGATTAATCATGTTTACCTTTTAATTCCCTAACTATTCTGCATTTATCACTTATTATAAATATTAATATAAACATAGTTCCAACGGTAGCCATGGCACTCTATGTTTGAGATAAATGCCCAGGTGCTCACCCACAAAGAAATCCATATATATATATATATATATATATATATATATATATATATATATAGTTCAGATTTTAATATATTGACAGCATATTTTTAAGTATATTTAATGTAAACCCTGAATGAATGACATTTAATTTACTCTGTGAACTGTGTATCATAAACCGTTGTCATATTAATCTAATTAAATTAGATTTTATCCAGCCTTTGTTGCATCTCAGTGATGCTGAAATTTGGATTCACAGTATATCCTCAGGATTCACAAGGCGAGAAATTTTAGCAGCCAAGTAGCAGGTTTACTTTCAGAAACAAGGAACGACCTTTAATGCAGTGCCCCTGCCTATGGTCAGCAGAGTCACAAGAGCCACAATTATGAACACACCCATGTGATGTGGCAATGTGCATGTCTATGTCCTAAATGGATATGCAGTGCTTTCTACTTCTTGTAAATGAGCAAGAAAGTGCAGTGCTAGATACTATAAATCATAAACATCCATGTGATGTTCAAAATTAAATGAATAGAAATAATCATACAATGAAAAAAATAAATACACAAAAAAATTAGTGATAAATATTCAAATGAATAAACAGTCCCAAGTGAGATAACCTGTGGAATATGGCAATGTGTTCTTGAAAACCAGCGAACATGAAGTGAAGTGACATCCATGATAATCCTCCACCGCTATGCACTCACCAGAAATAGCAATGAATAAAGCCTTGAAACAATCTCTCTAAGGAATATATGGCCCCTCCACTATAGAAGAATCCACATGGAGAATCGGATAGAGATAGTGTGCAGGTATTATGAGCAGATACTGTTCGGTTATCAAGTCCAGCCATGAGCAGAGGATTCCATATTGCAAAATCGCAGGATTCTTCCATAGCGGAGGGGCCATACATTCCCTAGAGATTGTTTGTTTCAAGGCTTTATTCATTGCTATCTCTGGTGAGTGCATAGTGGTGGAGGATTATCACGAATGTCACTTCACTTTATGTTCTCAGGTTTACAAGGACACATTGCTATATTCCACAGGATATCTCACTTAGGACTGTTTATTCATTTTTGATTATTTATCACAATTTTTGGGTGTATTTATATTTTTCATTGTATGATTATTTCTATTCATTTAATCTTGAACATCACATGGGCATTTATGATTTATAGTATCTAGTGCTGAACTTTTATTTATTTGTGGATGAATGGGTTCATCATTGTTTGTGCCAGCTGCTTTTTATTGGTTTCTTAGTGCTCACTTGTATTCATTTTTTTTTTTCACTTTTCTACATCTTGTGTTTGACAATAGGTTGCTTATTAGCCTACAAATGGCCAGTTTTGAAAACACTATTTGCACCAATTTGGTTTACTGCAAAGTTCATGAACTTCAAACTAGCAGGATTTGTGAAACTGTTCACTAAGCAAAGTCAAGCCGATTCACTCATCCCCACTGCTGATCTTCCACTGCTTTTTTTCAGAACTTCAATCCAAGAATAGTTTCATAGCATTTCTCAGGACGGGTTTCCTAATTGTGACAACAGTGGATGATGCCCGCATAATGTGTGTTAAACAGTCGCTTGTAAATTCCATTAGAAGCTGATATGATAGGGTGACAATGCTGGAGCACAATTGGGAAAAAGACACAGCAACTCTATAACAGGATGTGGGTGAATGAGAACCTTCATGGCACGGTCACCAGGTGCTAGTTAGATGAATGACGCTAAGTTAAAAATATTGAAAGAGATTTTTGAATTATATTAATATGTTAACCATATGGTGTACATATACTTTAAGTAGTGTGGTTTTAAGTAGCAATATTCATATGTTAATCTGTTTGGGGACTTTTAAATCAGTCATTCTCATAAAAATAATAATTGTTTGGAATAACCACATGAGGGCATTAAAAAAAACAGAAATTGATTGGTTATATAATAAAATATACCGCTAAGTTATTATTATGGGTTTAGTTAAGCAACAAGCAACTGGATATTAGATTTTTTCTCAAAATTCTGAAGAGACCATTACCTATTCTTATGGCATTTAAAAGACAGCAAACAAGACAACATTAGTCTTATACACAAACAGAAATGAATGGGCTCGGCATGTTTTTAAATTTGATCTTATACAAGGATAAATTACATTACTGTGAAGACATGAAGCACACTACCACCTAATGAATTAAAAATCACTTTGTTATGCTGTGTGTCTTGCACAAGCCAACATACTATTGCACATGTAGCCAATGAAAGGGCAAATAATATAGCAAAGGTGTGCCTTAACTGATGAAGAATGGAATAAAAACATAATTTTAAGCCCTTCTTTATAACACATGACTTGCTGCACTAATGTATATCCATTTCACTGTTTACTCTTCACGTATTTTTAATTTTCTCTTCCCAGCCTCATTTTTTGTGAGGCTTAAATATTTAGTGGTCGTTTTTTATTTTTGTTCTGTGAATTGATTTGCTGCAGTTAAGAAAGGCAAGTGACCATCTATCCACTTGAAAATTCTAACACCTAATTTCTAAAACAAAGTGCTATCTACAACTCACAGTGTGCAATAACAGCAAACTTCGGTCTAAGGATAACAAGATTAAGAACTGCCTTTGCCACCTTCATTATTGTTGTTTCTCTAGCTCTTGCTTAATTTTCATATGATACCTTTTGAGACTCATTCAGTGGCAGAGGTGCCTAAACAGACACTAGTGACACTCATAAAGTCATCATAATATGGTTCTTGCTTCATGGTTCTCTTTCATACTTCTTTTTATCGTATATCCAGTGAATTTCTCCACTGTTAGCTTTGGTTCTCTCTTTTTTTTTGGTAGCTCCATTGCTACACAGCTAAGTCATCTGACCTAGCTCTGCTACTACTTGATTTACTTGCTCTGCTGAGCCTCCTTGTGTCTATCAACACGGGAGGCTGGTGCATCTCTACAGTGGTTGTGGCTGGTATGTCATCCACTTCTGCTCTTGAATTGGTTCCACTTCCTGACACCACTGGTGCCTCACATGCCTCTTCATTTCTTACACTGCTTGGAGCAGACGTTGTTGCACTGCATGCACTGGCAATGCTGGATCCAGGTTTTCTTTCTCTCTCCACTGCCAGGTTGGCCCAGTTCTGTTCATTAGCTAATGTATGATGATCAAGATGACCACTGAAGTAGGATGGGTCAAGAGGCTCTTCTGTTAGTGATGTCATCTTAAAATCGGACATGGGTGACCTAGCATATACATGTTGCATAGTTGGAGGGGCAGCAGCTGCATCAGTATAATACGGCGGGAAAGCCATATTTGGCGGAGCAGTTCGTGGCAGAGGACTAGGAGGATCTGCTTTATTGCAAGCAGGGTCCGGAATATATCTGTTAGTCATACCTTGCTTGAGTTTCTTCCACCCCAGATGATATATCTCTAACATATTCAGCAAAAGAGACACGCAAGCCACTACAAGCATAAATATAATGAAAATGGTCTTTTCTGTCGGCCTGGAAATGAAACAGTCCACGGTGTTGGGGCAAGGCCAACGGTTACAACGGTAGAGGGGCTTCAGCTCAAAGCCATACAGGAAATACTGCCCTACAATAAAGCCAATCTCAAACAGAGTTTTGAAAATAATGTTGAAGACGTAAGTGCGGAGGAGTGCACCTCCTATTCTTATCTTACCCCTTTCATCTCTGATTGGGGGTTTCTCCTTCTTCTCAACACCCTTCCTGAGGAGCAGTTCCTTCTCATCATTATCTTTAATGCACTTCTTTAGCTCCTCCTCCTTCTCTTTTTTCTTTTCTTCCATCCGCACAATGTGCAGGACATGGCCCAGGTAAATGAGGGTGGGTGTAGAGACAAAAATAATTTGGAGTACCCAGAACCTAATGTGAGAAATTGGAAAGGCTTTGTCATAGCAGACATTTTCACAACCTGGTTGCTGGGTGTTGCAAGTAAAGTCCGACTGTTCATCCCCCCCACACTTCTTCTGCTGCTGCTCCTAAAACCAATATTCTGAAGATAAATAAAACGGTCAACCAGACCTTTCCAATAACAGTGGAGTGTTCTTGTGCATTTTCTAATAGTCTTCCCAGAAAACTCCAGTCACCCATTGTTTCTGCTTTCTATCCTGAAAAATCAACAGATAGATGTAGAACAAGTCAGTTATAAATATGTAAAAACAATTCAAATTATTTATTATTTGAGGACTTATAAAAATGTGAAGACAACATATTTGAATGCCATTTGTAGATATTGTATCTTTAAAGGGTTACTTTGCCTTTACCAATAAACTTCCTATGCAGGCAAGGTGCGTCTGTTAATAAAAACAAACTGTTTAGCGTAGACTAAAGCTGAATAATGTCCTTGCTAAAGGCCATTTATGTACCTCCCAAAGGCTGACTGAAAAAAAACTAATTTCTTGGATGTTGCTGAGACATTCCAAGCTATTACTGCTCATACTCACCATCACAGGAGCGAGCTCTCAAACCTCTGTGCATGTGTGTTCCACTATCTCCTCTGTTGCAGTATTGCTGAGCTCAGAAATATTGCAGTAGGGAAGACAGTGTGCAAGCAAGAGGGTTTATATTGGCTGGGAGTGTCCTAGCAATGTCCTAACAACAAGGGCAGCACTGGATTATACCATCTCTGGGAGTTCTTCAGTCAGGCTTCAGAAGTTACGTAAATGGCCTACATCTATTGCATGGGCATTATCCAACTTTGGGCAAAGTAGCACAGTTTGTTTATGTTGACAGGTGCTCCTTATCTGCATAGGCAGTTTTTTTGGTAAAGGTGAACTAATCCTTTAAAAGCCTTGTACTATTCTTATAATCATTATTGTTTTAGTGTCTCTTTTAACCAGTAGCTACACAGTAGGTTCGAGCAAACTTGTAACAGTATAACTCATGAATATAAACTATCTGAAGGGAGTGACCATTAATTAACACCTTCCTGCCTGGCCTACAGCAGATTGATGGCCGGGATGCTCCTCCTTCTGACTGGACGTCCTGTCAGAAGGCGCCATTCAAGCGGCTGCGGGGTTGTGCAGTGGCGCAATCTGTCAATGGTTGTGTTCACTGGACACAGCCAATGACAGATCACTACACTGGCCCTCTTCCAGTGGTATGTGATCGCTGTGACCAATCAAAGCAGATCACATGACAATTGTATACAATGGATGGCTTCCTTTCATGCCATCCATTGTATACAATTGTGTTGTTAGCTGTGATTGGTCACAGCATTCACATGGTACAGACAGGGCGAATCACAGCCCATCTAGACCATGTGATGAGCTTCGGCCAATCACAGCTAATCACAACAAAGGCTGAATGAAGTAGTTTCATTCTGTAAAAATTGTTGCTCATCTCAATGAAGTACATTGGTATAAGCAATCATAATGTGCAAAAAAAAAAAACAATCCTGATCACTCGCCCAGAGTAATACAATGTTACTATGGGTAACATTGTATTGCTCTGGTCACAGTGTGTTGAAAAAAAAATAATTAAAAAAAATAAAAAAATTTTAATAAAAAAAGAAAAAAATTATAGAAAAAATAAAAATAAATTATTATTACTATTTTTTTTACTGTCACCAGTCATTGTGTCCCTGATCACCACCACACCAGTTATATGATAACGCTGCAGTGGACTGGTGGCAATATGTAAAAAAAAAAGTGATTTTTTTTTTTTAATTTCTTCATTTTCCAAAAAATTGTGACATAACATTACATCTCCAAAAAACTTGCCATGCATCTTACTAAATACCTTGGACAGTCTAATTTCCAAAAATGTGGGGGTATTTGTTCTATCCTGGTGTTCTCGGGCCTCAAGAAATGAGAATGGCCGTCAGTACATCATGATTGAACGATTGTCAGTGTTTGCCCGAAAATAAGACATTGTCTTATATTTTGTTTTGGCTCAAAAAAAACACACAAGGTCTTATTTTCGGGGCAGGTCTTATTTTTTAAATGTCTAGGTGTGGACAGGGGGTGCAGAGGTGAGCTGCAGGCAGTTGTGGATGAGGGTTACTATAGAGAGGGCCGGCTGATGACAGTTGTGAGCTGCAGTCAGGTGTTGCAGGGTGCAGAGATGAACCAAGACAGGGTGCAGGGTGAGTTTGTGGACAGGGAATGCAGAGGTGAGCTGTGGATAAGGGGTGCAGAGCTGAGCTGTGGAGGGGAGATGCAGAGATGGGTTGCAACTCAGCTCACCTCTCTGCATCCCCCCCCCAGCCACAGCTCACCTATGCACCCTGTCTGCAACTCACCTGTCAATTTACCTCTGCAACACCTGACTGCAGCTCACCTTTGCACATCCCCCCCTCCACTGCCCTCATGTGGTTAGCTAGCTTTGCAAAACATAGCTGTCAGCAGCCGCCCCTCCCTATATTAACTCCCGTTTTGGGTCCTATCTTCCCACACTGCGCACCAAGCGCACTTACTCACCCGCTCCACCTGACTTCCCCACTGGCCGTTGATCACCCCTGGGGCATCGGCTTCCATAAGCATTAGGCTGCAGGAGGAGATGCCCCGATGTACATAAGATGTTATCTTTTTTTTTCAGAAGTTAGGAATAATATTCACTTTAAATACCCAATCATGTGCACAGGAAAAGACAAAATTAGGATTTTTGTCTGCACGTACCTTATTTTTTAAAAGTTAAGTGAATGTTCACTTTGTAAAGTAAATATTCTTTACTCTTTGAGTAATGTCAGCCCTATGATTTGATCTAATTCTCTGACAGTATTGTTTTTGGCCGTGCCACTATATTTTAATGACAATATGATACTTTGTACACACATAGTTTGTTTTTCACAAAATTGAACAGGTCCTAGTTGAAAAGAATACAGTACCTGGATTATCTTCCTTTTTGTCAGATAAGGAGGGTGCCTAAGGCCGGCCATAAACAGTTCAAAAATCTCTGCCAGTTTCTGCTGAGATTAGAACACTGTATGGGCAGACTAAATGTACCCAAGTTGATTGATTGAGAACCCTGGGTACAACAAGCCTTCCGGATTTTACATGCTATTAATGAAGCCTTTCAACGCCTCCCATTCAAGTCTACGGTGACGCTCCTCAAATGCCTGGCAGGCATTTGCAAGGCATTTTCGGGGCATTAAATATCATTAACTTCATTATAGGCATTTGTGGTGCCTATGAAACGCCTCAAAAAACGTGCATTTGGGGAGTGTTTGAGGAGCATTAAAAATGCTCACCAAACGCCTGTCTAATGCCTGTCAAACGCAGAAAAACTAGGGTGTGGCAAACTCTGCCATTCAATTATTTGCTGTATTTACTATAGTTACTGCAATGTTTAAGTAAACCTTGTAGCCATTTTCAAATGAAAAATCTTGTTTAAGAGCAGGATCCACCCAGAGAAACCTGTTCTATGCACTTTTCTTATTGGTGTGAGAATGCGCATGCATGCAAAATACGTGCAAATGTGCGCAAAAATATTTGCATATACTCAAAGCAAATGCCTGAAATTACGTCCAGAAATGCTGATGCTCAAACATCAGTACCATGTGCCTTAAGAGTAGTTAGGTTTTTCCTGAAATATGGAAAACATTATGGAAAAGGTCTTGGCATCAATTTTTGGTAATAATAAAACAATTTTGTCCTAAATGTTATATAGGTAGTAGAGTGCATCAGTACATATTTAGAGTTATTTCTGTATTTAACTAAAGTATTCAGTTACAGTACAACCATTGTGTAGCTTTGCAAAGTAGGGGGTAGACCCTACATATGTATGGGCAAATATGGCTGGCCTCATGTACATTATACATAGAAATAATTGTTAAACAAGAAATATTAACACAAATAGTATAGATATGATTATTTGATCATTCTGATATCTCAGAATTGTATAGCTAAAGAATCATTGAAAAGACTATACTTTCTCTTTTATTTTTTGTTCCCAGAAGTCAAATAAATACATTCATCATCTGCCTGTTCTCACCATGTGAGAATGATATTTAAAACGTCTTATGATAACCAAATACAAGTAAAGATTTTGATTGCACAACCCTACTGATTGCCATACAGAATGTTAGGTTTGTACAATAAAATGCCCAATAACTAATAAAAAAGTTTCCACCTCAGGTTTCCTCAGCATTATCAAATAAATGTAACCTCCACAGACTAAGCAAAGAATGGCAGCTATAATTTGATCTTTACAATGTATTAATGAAATCCAGTATCAAGGACAGCTAGTGAAAACCCAAATGTCAATATCTCAGAAAATTAGAATATTGTGAAAAAAGTTCAATATTGTAGACTCATGGGGGTTTATTTACTAAAGCTGGAGAGTCCAAAATCAGACTCCCTTCTGCATAGAAACCAATCAGCTTCCAGGTTTCATTGCCAAAGCTTCATTGAACAAGCTGAGGTTAGAAGCTGATTGGTTTCTATGCAGAAGGGAGTCTGATTTTGGACTCTCCAGCTTTAGTAAATAAACCCCATGGTGTCATACTTTAATAAACTAATTAACTCCAAACACCTGTAAAGGTTTCCTGAGCCTTTAAATGATCACTCAGTTTGGTTCAGTAGGTTACACAATCATGGGGAAGATTGCTGACTTAACAGTTGTCCAGAAGACAGTCATTGACATCCTCCACAAGGAGGGTAAGTCACAAAAGGTCATTGCTAAATAAGCTGGCTGTTCACAGAGTGCTATATCCAAGTATATTAATGGAATGTTGAGTGGATGGAAAAATTGTGATAGAAAAAGGTGCACAAGCAACATAAGATAACCGCAGCCTTGAGAGGATTGTAAAGCAAAGGCCATTCAAGAATTTGGGGGAGATTCACAA